AATGGTTTTTGAAATTGGTAGGTTTATTTCGGTTTGGTTGCTTAAATTTAAAAATTGTATACAAGTTAATTAACAAATTTTTAAAATATTAAAACTAAAATGTAATAAAAATCTTTGTAGAAAGGGGAAGAATCTTTTTTAATTTTTGAATTCTTTCTTTTAATTTACAATAATTTTTATGTACATTTTTCATTGTTTGAAAACATGAATTTGTAAATATTTATTGGTATTATATTTAGGTATTATGTTCATATTTTTCTATCATACTTTTAAGAACCACAGTGCCATTGTCTCTTCTACCTTGTTGCCACCAGTAAATTCTGGATGCTGGCTGCGTACGCTTCCCCGGATCTTGTTGCTCTCGCTCTCGTTATCCCGGAGGTTGTAACCCCGGATAATGTACTTAATGCATCTACATATTAATGTCGCACCGCCGAAAAAAAAAAACACAGGGGAAGAGGAAGAGAAGGTTAAGGGAAGTGCAGGCGAAAAAACAGGGGAGCAGTAAGGTGAATTGAGGGGTGGTGAGAGGGGGGTGGCGAATGAAACCTGTGCAACCCCCGACTCCCTCGAGTTCGCTACTTTGTATGTAATTTCTATTACCAATCCCCCCGAAACCCCCCTCCCAAGCCCATGGGCGCACGTGGAATCCCCCGTGTCCTTGTTTTCATCGTGTGTCGTGTGTGTTTATGGGTGTGTGTGTGCAGCATGTCGTTGTGCTTTTTGTTGTTGTTTTTATTGCACAGACTTGCGACGCAGCGTGTGATTGCCACTTTCCCTCTGCACCCGAAAAAAACATGCTATCTTTAACACAAATTAAAATTAAATCATTTTTGGTCTTGTTTTAAGGTTTATAAACATTTTTGCTGGAAAAATAAACAATATGTTATAAATATAAAAGTAAATAATGATAAAAACAAATAAAAATAATTAAAAAAAGTATAAAAATTAATACAAAAAATTTTTTTTAAATAATTAATAAGTAAAATTGTAATAATAGAAAAATAAAAAATATACATTGATTATTTTAATTATGAACTTTGGTATATTCTCATAATGAACTCAAGTATTCCTTTTATATTGACTTCTTTGTATTTTAATGTTTAAGTTTACAACTTAAAGTACTAAATATTCACTAATCTCAGCCATTTTTGAGTGATTTTGATGTATTAAAATAGGTATATCTTTTTCTACGCACTTCATTTTTAGTTAGTAATTTTTTTCCCAGTGTTCCCTGTCCGCTTTCCACCTTACCCTCCTCACCTGAGCCGCTGCACTTGTTCCATCGCCGTGTGCGTGACGTGGAAAAAAATAAGTATATCGCCGGAGAGGGTGGTTGTGGATGGTTGAATGGCTGGTTGGTTGAATGGGTGGGTTCCCCCCGACCCTATCGATGTGTCTCCCAGTAGAGCAGGCCGGAAAACAGACGGTAGAAGAACCGTTAAGCCGGGACCGCAATGTGTAAAAAATTACGACCAAAAATTAAAGCAGGAGTGGAGGCGGAAAACGTTGGCAGGTGGTCGCTGGAGGCGGGAAAACTCAGGGAAAACTCGGGAAAACCACCGGCTCTCCTTCTTTATTATTTCTTCTCACACGCATGATGAGCCAGCGACAATATGTTGCCATTAACCCTGAAACTTATCGCAGTGTATGCGCCGTGTGTCGGCAAAGTTTTATGAGTCGTTTTTCAAGTGAGACCAAAGACCAAAAGTCGTGCACTTAAAGGAGACGGGAAAATTTATACGGAAAACTAACAGAAAAACAGATGGAAAACCAGAAAAAGTATAAACCTGGATTAAATAGTATAGGTATATTAATGTGATAAAATCTTAAATTTATTAATATTTATTTTTTTTAATTTAATTTTCATTTATATATTATTATCTTTTAATGTAATATATTAATACAATTTCAAGTTCGTAAAGATCTCAATTCCTGTTATTTAAATTATTATATTTTCTTTTATAATACTCTATTTTATAAAGTTTTGTTTTACTATATTTTGTTTTATAATATTTTCTATTTTTTTAAATTTTATTGTAACAGGTACCTGAAATCATTATTTTTTATTTCTGGCAATACTCTTCAACAGCATTAAGCTTAGTCAAATATACTAAGATTTATGCCAATAGAAACATATATTCCGCACTCCCCATAAATATTGCTCGCCTTTGTTGGCCTGCAGTGTAGAATGTCCTGGGAATTCCCTTTTTTTCAAGGGAGGTTAGGCAAAAGCAAAAGGTAAAAGCTAACAAGTAAAAAGTAAAAGTAAGTAAAGTAAGGCCACGATTCCTCCTGCCTTTCAATTTGTTTGGCCGCTGGCGAACGCGCGTCTGGCGGATATAAAAATAAAATAAAATCTATTACGTGGCGAACCACCCCACATTTATGCGGCAATTTGTTGCTCCTTGATTGTGTCTGTGTGTGTGTAAAAATAAGTAAAGTAAAGTGTATCATTTTCCCATTTGTCGACCCCTTTTTGGGCTACGTTTTTCCCTGCTTTTTCCCTGTTCCACAGGCACTTCTCGCACTTTGTCTCAATTCCCAAAACTGTCGCCCCGGCAGTTGCAATTTATGAAGATTTGTGTGTGGTGTGGCCAGGATGAAAATAAAACGAGAGGGGAGGACTCGCAAAGGACTCGCAGGATCAAGAACTCAGAGCTCAGAATTCAAGAGTCGACGGATGCCCCGCCCACTCGCTTTTGCACTTGTTTTGATTTGTTTGGAATAATAACAGATGCTTACCGTTCATATTATTCATTGTTCAAATTATTAACGCTTGACAATAAAAATTGCTATTTGAACAGCACTCGAAAGGAGCACTGCACACCCCTTATATGCATATACCCCAGGAAACCCAATGGAACCCAACGAAACCAAACCAATGGCCAAATTGCAATTTGTGCAAATATTTATGTACATTGAAAATTACTCATTTGTGTAACACCAATTAATTTCAACAAACAGCGGCCGTCGCACAACAATGGCCAAACCATTTATAAAACTTTGCCGTTGCTGTTGTGCTTTGGCTCTTTGCCTCCTTGCCTCACTTGCCTCTTGGTTAAACAAATGGAGGGAAAATGAGGTCCTTTGTTTCCCCAAAATAAACGATGCTGTTGCTGTTGCTGTTTGCTTTGCGGTGCCAGGACACAGGACATGGGCCAAAGGACACACAGGACACACTGAACACTGTACAGTGGAGCCTCCTACACCGAAAAAAAGAAATGAACATAGAAACTAAACTATTCGTACATTAATTCTAAATTAAAGATCAAGTTGTTTATATCATTTTGATATGAATACAGATTATGTTTATCTTATTTTACATTATTTGTGCTACTAAATTCGGTATTTTTATGATATGATAAAATATTAGATTAATATTTTTCAATCATAAATTTGACATAAATTATATCGGATTTTATATTATTTACTACAAATTCATACACGTGTTTTTTTGGGTGTATACATATAACCTGAAATACCGAAATGAATAAGGATACAATGAACCCAGTTTGCGGACACTGCGGCATTATTCGCCGCACCATACAACCCCCACTTCAAATCCTGTTTACACTGCAATTTTTCAAGTTTCGCTAACAAATTGCAGCTAATTACTGGCCGCACTAAGGAAACAAAAAAGAAAATAAGCTCATAGGGTGAAACATCGGGGGAAACCCTTACTGCAAATGGCACTCGAGAACTTCAAGTTTTCCACTCAATCAGAGATAATAGGAACAAATGGTCAAGGGGTAGATCGAAAGGAGGGTCGAAGGTTCGCACAGGGCGGAAAGACACCTTAAATAATACCTTTCAGTGCTACAAAATTTAAGAGATGAGAAAATATCAAAGGAACTTTATTTTTAAGGATAAAGAAAACTATTTTCTTTGCTCTGCCTTTTCACAATAAATTGTTTTTTACCAAAACAGATTTTTAGAGAATAAAAAGCAAATCAAATTCTAAGATGTTAGTCTTCGATTTTTCATTCATTTAGTTACAAAAAAAAAAGCGGTCACCATTTCCGAGTCAAAATTTGTTTCAAAATTCCAAAGCCACCGCAAAAAGTGACGAGTTCCGGCCAGTCAAAAGTGCATTGTATACCTTTTCCCGATCCCATATCAGTCTATATATCCAGTAATAAATCAGTAATCTTGTTCGTAAACCATCAAAAAATCGCACATAACCTCAAACTGCGAACGTGCGAGTGAGAGGCAAGGAAAAAAGGTGGAGTGAAGAGTGCAAGTGACCGATACATGACCTATGACACAGGGCACCGATCAAGTGAAAGGGTTCTGTAGATCTGTACGTATACAGTAAAATTCACTTAGAGCCGCAAGTATGTCATCAAAATGGATCCAAAGCTAAGAAACTAAACAGAAATCCGGAATTCTATTGGTTTTTAATCTACACTGATAAAAAACCTAGTAAATCCATTAATTTCATATTCCATTGATGGCTGTTTTTAATGGTTTAAAATATGGAAGTAGTAAATTTAAGAAATTTAAACAAGCATTTTATAAATTAATTCTTTTCGTTCAAATATTTTAACTTAATATGTTTTGATTTTAATTTTATGTGTTTGCTTCTTTTTTTCATATATTAAATATGAAATTTTAAATTTAGTATACAGATATTTATTTGTTTTAACAATTTTGTTATCAGTGTAGTCATCTTTATAAATTCAAAACTGTTTTTCATTTACATCATAGTAGTCGTATCACTTTTATGTCTGTAGTTTTGATAGAAGCCAAAAAGCAAAGCGAGAACATATTCATAAAATAAAACAAGGCGACAACAACGCAGCTAGTAAATTGAAAAAAAAAATCAGAAAAATAAAAATAAAAATCAACGCGGAGAAAACGAAGAAGTGAAAGCACGCTGTACAAAATAGTAGTAGTTTAATAGTGAGATATTTAAAAAGCCGTGATAACAATAAATCAAATTACAGGTAAATCAAGTGTATAAGAATATCGATTCAATACCGGTTTGAGGCCTCCAGTTCCCGTCAATTTATCCGGACTATCAGGGTGAGTCCCTGATCCCCAATCAGCACCAACGGCGTCCCAGGCGGTTGGCAGATCCGGCCCGGACAACGTAGCCGCGGCTCGCAAGACCGACGGAATGGCGGAGGTTCTCAATCTGGACAGCATCATTTCCCGCCTCCTGGAGGTGCGTGGCGCCCGACCGGGCAAGAATGTCCAGTTGTCCGAGGGTGAGATACGCGGGTTGTGCCTTAAATCCCGTGAGATCCTGCTGGCCCAACCTATATTACTTGAACTTGAGGCCCCGCTCAAGATTTGCGGCGACATCCATGGCCAGTACTATGATCTATTGCGCCTCTTCGAGTACGGCGGCTATCCGCCCGAATCCAACTATCTGTTCCTGGGCGACTATGTCGATAGGGGCAAACAGTCGCTGGAAACCATCTGCCTGCTGTTGGCCTACAAGATCAAGTACTCGGAGAATTTCTTCCTGCTCCGCGGCAATCACGAATGCGCCAGCATCAATAGGATCTATGGATTCTACGATGAGTGCAAGCGCCGGTATACGATCAAGTTGTGGAAGACCTTCACCGATTGCTTCAACTGCCTGCCCGTGGTGGCGATTGTCGATGAGAAGATCTTCTGCTGCCACGGGGGCTTGTCACCGGATCTGACCTCCATGGAGCAGATACGCCGCATAATGCGACCCACCGATGTGCCGGATCAGGGACTCCTGTGCGACCTCCTTTGGTCCGATCCCGACAAGGACACCATTGGCTGGGGTGAAAACGATCGCGGCGTGAGCTTCACCTTTGGCGCCGAGGTGGTGGGCAAGTTTCTGCAGAAACATGACCTTGACTTGATTTGTCGCGCCCATCAGGTGGTGGAGGATGGCTATGAGTTCTTCGCCAAACGCCAACTGGTCACACTTTTCTCGGCGCCCAACTATTGCGGCGAATTCGATAATGCCGGGGCCATGATGTCCGTGGACGATACGCTAATGTGCTCCTTCCAGATCCTAAAGCCCGTGGAGAAGCGCAAAAAGTAGAAGATCTCAAGAAAAATCGAACCCCAAGAACATATATCACGAAACATAGACAACACAAAACAAATCCCCGTCCCACACTCTCACTCGAAAACAAAGAAAACGAATGCCTATCATGATTACTATGTCGTCAACTGGATCTAAGAACACGCCCCGACCTCAACATGGATCGCAAATGGAATGTACTGATGATTTTAATCCGCACTTTGGTTGTGTATAAAGAATTCTAACGAGTCAAGCTTGGGGTTTTTTTTATTGTGGGGGTTGTGAGGTTATAAAAGAGCATTGGTTGATTAGACAAAAGTGGAAAGTGTTTCTTGTTATTAGAGATTTACTAGAACTACAGCAAGAATATTTGATAATAATATGGAGAGTTTCCTATTTTTCGTTATTTTTTTTTCTTTTTTCTTTTCTTTATCTATTTGACAGTAACTACCTAGAAACTTTTTTTGCATATAAGTTTTCATATTTTAAAATTATTGATTGACAAAAATATTTATTCCTTGAGAATAATATCTTGTGAAGTATTAGGAAACTACAAACTGAATATAAGAAAAAAAACTGTTTATTTGATTTAAAATATGCTTGAAGAATATCTTTATATTATATTTTAAATATTAATATATTTAAAATATGCTTGAAAAATATTTTTACAGTTTTAAGAAGCTATAACAATCTGCTCATGTCCCATTCAAAAACAAATCCTCTTAATAATAGTTATCCCATCCTATTATTTCATCCTATCCTAAGGCCAAAACGCAGAAAAGTATGCTAAGAAATCGGTACGTGAAAAGTGGGTGATTCCCCTCCGAAAAACTCGATTCTATCTGTTCGACTCGAGTGACAAAAGTCACCGACATAATATATTAACAATGCTTAAAAATTAATGAACAATAACAAAGCGCACACACACATGCACACGAAGAGGGGGACAGCAATAGGCGTGAAGAAAGAGAGGGAGAGCGAGTGGCAGACAGACAACAAACAAAAACAATCACAAAGATACAACAAATTGCGCCAAAAACGCTTTATTATGTCGAAAATAAGATGGGAAAAAATAGAGAAAAGGAAAAGGAACCCAGTGTGACAACAACAAATTACATTATATATATAATGAGGTCATTTGCGCGTAAACAATCAGGGGGGCTGTGTGTGGGCTGCCAGAAAAGAAAATAGGAAAAGAAAACTCGGGAGAGAGACAGAGACGGCAGAGAGTGAGAGAGAAAGCCACTCACATGTTTATCAACAAACGGCAAATAAATAAATTATGTTCGCAAATTTGTTAATAAATCATGAAGCTGGAGACCAAAGTCAAAGCGCCAAATTAAAGCAAGCAAGAAAAACAGTTCTCAGGTGGAAGAAAAGTCGCAAAAATCCGCGACAGCGAAATGCCCTTTTGGAGGTTGATAATTTTTAGCGAAAAATGGCCAAAAAAGTATATATTCAGGTTTAAATGATCGATTGAATATTTTATCACGAGTTCAACAAGGTATGGCATTCTATATTCTGGCTATTATTTCCCTTGTTTCGGCCAAGATACTGATATTTTTTGTGAAAAATCAAAATCTTCGCTTTTTGCTGTTTGTAGTAGTTCTTCCGTAAGAATAATAATTAAAATATTTATTTAATATTAATTTAATAAGCTAATATTCATCTTTAATTTCTAAATATTTTTGTTTGAAATAAATTTGTTGCAAACAAAATAGAAGTGTGCCAAATAAAAACCAAATTTATATGCCAACCTTTATTGTAAATCAGGACTTTTTACATTTTAAAGGGTATTTCTTACTTAAAATGGCGTTTTCATGCACACACACACTAACACAATTTAATCTCTATGTGTGTGATGACGGTTGACGTCGCTGCTGCTGAGCAGATATACATATATACATTTATATAGCTACATATACATATATATACATGTTGCAGTAGAAAATCAATGCAGACAACATTTGGCAATTTGGCAGCAGTGCAATTGCAATTGTTTCCTCTTTTTCCGGTTAGCTACTCGTATTTATTTGTATCCTTTCTGTTGCAAATTGTCTTCTATTGTTGCATTTCATTTGTCCCCTGGCCGAAAAAGGGATGGAGATATATGGTACGCCACACCCACAGCCCCACACTCCCCATACCCCCCATACAGTCACTCATACTAGCTCACTCCTTCCATCTCGCTCCGTCTCTGATGTTTCAGATCTGGATACATTGTTTTCCCCACACTTAAAGAAAATGTCATTGGAAAATTGTTTAAAAAAACGAAGGTTTTTAACTTTAACTTAATTTTATGTACTTTAAAATGATTCATTTCCTTTATCACTTTTTGCTACTACAATTAGATATTAATTATTATTAATTTAATTTATTTTTTTAGATATTGTTTTTATATTTCTTGCCTTACTAACTATTTTTAAGGGGCCTTTATTCATTTTTTATTAAAGCAATTTTAAATTATTTATTTCCTGTGGACAACAACCGTATACTTTTTTATAAATAAAAGATTATTTTAAATTTTTTTAAATTTTAAGGTAAATCCAAAATATTAATATTATTTCTTGGCTACTTCAAATATATTTGCAAAATATATTTTACTACTTTTATTTTCTGAATATTTACTTTCCTATTAAATTTTTCAACCATATTGGAAAGTTTTTAATTTCATAATAATTTATTATTGATAATTACCTTTTTAGGGCGACCTTTTAATTGCAACATATAAGTATTATTTTGGCAAACTACAAATTGTTCTATGCATAATCTGGATTATTTTTCCTGTATACGTTTAGCATCCTTTGGCCGCCTTGGAATAATTTTATTAATTACAAATTATGCGCCTAATGAAATGGCCAGCAGGGTGGACCTTTTCGCAGTGGTTTGAGGGTTTTGCGGGTTTGAGGGGGAGGTGGGTGGCTTAGTGGGTGGGTCAGTGGGTAGCAGTAGTATATCCTTCGATGCTGACGTTGATGTTAACGGTAACGGTAACGGTAACGTTAACGCTGGCAGCGACATCGGCACTGCCCACATGAATTTTGCATAAGCCCCAGCCAACCACAATGCAGCACATCCACATCCACATCCTCATCCTACGGGTTTTTGGTTTTTGGAGCTATACGGCCAAGTATTCCCGTCTCCTCTCCCGAATCCTGCTCTCTCTCTCTCTCTCTCTGGCGCCCTCTCCCTCTCGCCTGAGCCGGGATTTTTGGGTCCCGCTTTGGTTTTTCGGCCTGCGCAGGGTGGTTCCGTTCTCTCTGCGTCGATAGAGATGGCACTAGGGCATGCGAAAGAGAGAGAGGGCCAGGGCAGCTCCCTTAGGAGGTCCTGGGTGCGAGAGAGAGCGAGGAAGAGCGAGCGAGAGCGAGAGAGAGAGCGCCAAGGGTGCAAACCAATAACCGTCAGACTAATTTTGGGATTGGTTTATAATTGAAGAGTTTGCCATTGTATTCGGCATGAAAACATTTGGTATGGGGGTAGTATCATCTACATAGTTTTTCATCCAATACACATAAACCCGAAATATACAAAGATGTGTGTTCGTGTGTGTCTTATTGTTCTCCATAGGCCTCTCCTTATCATTTTAGAGTTTTACATAATTGGGCAGGGGGTCCAATTTGCCTCCCCATTTCCCATTTTCGCTATTTTCCTTAACTGTGTCCATTTTCCGGCTGTGCTCGTCAGTGGGGGCGTGGTATGTTTGCCGACTGTACATAGGAGAGCAGAACTAAGCGCTAGTTTTACCCGCCCGACTGCGCCACATTCACAAAAAGATAAATAAATATGAGTGACCCAGCCCCCAGCCACAGCACCGAAGGGCCCCTAGCCCCCCTTTTTCCTATTCAAATGAAAATGGTAACTGGAAAAGCTGCTAAAAACATGATATAGGGGGGAGGCCCCGGCCCGGAAAGTGCGAAAGAGAGGGAATCGAGACTTAGAAAGAGCTGGGAAGAGGCCATCCGGGCTATTTGGCCTTCTGTTGGTACCATACTTTTCATACTTTTCAGCTGTAATCAGTTTAAATGCTTAACAAAGCAACACACAAAAGGAAGGAAGGAAAGAAAGGATGGGGAAAGAAGGGAGCTCCAGCTTTTTAGTTGCTATTCATATTTGTATAAATAATTGAGGAATTCTATAAATATTTGATGGCTAGACAAAAGAGTTGCGAGCGCCCTCGTATCCGTATCCGTATCCCCGTATCTCCATCCGTATCCGTATCCGTTCCATTTCGTTCCGTTTCGTTTCGCTCTCAGTCGTTTTTTGTGTCTGTGTTGGTCTATCTATCTATGTGTGTGTGAGTGGGCCTGATTTCCCGTTCAATTAAAGCTGCCAAAGGGGATCCCCAATCCCCCAACTCCTTCGGAAAAGTAACAAGTGCAGGCTCAAGTAAAAGGGTTGTCAGTTCTCTTCGGGATGGTTGGGGAACAACGACCGAGGACTTTAATTAGAGGTAGCTTTAAATACATTCCCTATGCCGTGAGTGGAAAACTTTACAAATTATCTGCTCACGGGGGTTTACAGTGGGGGGAGGGGGGTTGGGTTTTTGGGTTCTGATTACAACGATAATGATTACCCTGCTAATGATGGTCTTTAAAATCATGCCATTTAGCTAGGTGTACATTCTATATATATATATATGTATAAAGAGATTTATTTTGTAGGTTGTGTACTTGTTTATCTTAGCTTAAAGGATTTTAAGTGGAGTTTTAAAGGGTTTTAATTTTTTGAAATGAAGTGAAATAAAATTAGGTTATATATTTTAACCTGTTTATAGGTCTAGAAAAATATAACTTGGATTTATTCTACGTAGGTTTTTAAAAGGGCTTTAAGATTTTGAAAGGAAAGAATAATACAATTTAATAATATATTTACCCATTCAATAGACTAGAAAAATATACTTTGGACCTATTATAATAGGTGTACTTTGAGACTTTTTAATTTGTAATAACTATTTGGTTTTTCAGTAGATATTTAAAATAATTCCTTAAGATATATTGATTTTTCGGATAGTTAACCACAAATACACCTATAGATATATTGCTAAAAAATTGTTATTGGTGATTGTTGTAGCCAATTGATAGCCTACTTTCCCACAACCACTCAACGCTAATGTATTAATATTTAACAATAATTGAATTTCCCAATATTTAGGAAAATCCCTTTTCCCGGCAGATGCACCACTCGATGGACCAGCTGGACATGCTGGACCCGACGGGCTCGATGACCACGCTGGCGCCCATCTCGGAGTCG